AAACAAACTTTATATATTTTCACAAATATTGAAAGAAAGTATCTTTTATCGAAGTTTATAAAGTTTTGTTTGTGCCTTAGTGCTTAGTTTTATATTTTGAAAGTATCTTATTGATATATTTCTAGAATATTCGTTTAATATTGTTATCACGGTATTAATGTCGTGATCATTCAATACAAATTATCAATCTGGTTCAACAATATACGTTTAACAATGTTAACGAAGTATTAGTGTCATTATGATCCAATACAATTATTCATTTTTCAGCATGGTACCGCAGTGGCACAGCGGCATGTCTGCGGACTTATACTGCTTGACACCAGGTTTCGATCCCGTGGTAGGCAGAGTAGAGATAGCCTTTTGTTTAGTTTTGTACTTAAAAACAGACAACAACAAATCTTCAGCATGTTTTCTTTACACAGTCTAGCGATCAATTTTCATTTATGTTTATAAAAGATAGATATGTCAATAGGGTGCGCCACTGTTTATTCACGAAGAGCCACCTCCAATTATATAATAACTTCTACCAAAAACTTAGCTAAAAATCGTTAATGGTAATGCAATTAATAATAATTAGTCTTAATTATGAGTAACACTCAAGTCACAGAAAGCCTCTGAGGCAAATTAATTGGGTATTTGTAGTGTTTTCAACCCATATATTAAACAACAAAGATATAACAAAGTAACATAATAGTAAAATATATATATATATATTTTAAATAAAAACAAGGTTCTGCCACCGAGTAATTTTAAAGGATTCTTAGAATTTTTGGACGGGTCAGAATTCAAATCCTTATGGGCAATATTTAAATATTTGGAGATTAAACACACACAGGCTAATTAATGAGGCTTTAATGTATTGACATTTTCCCTTAAATAAACGTGTTTGATCGGCAAAGTTCACCCATTAGGTTGTTAATATATTTAAGAAGAGAAACAACGTAAATGGATTTAATAGATATGTGGCATATAAAATATAAGGATAACAGAAAAAGGAGCGGCTAGAGATGTACAATACCTTAGGAACTTATTATTCTGGAATCGGTTTTATTGGTCAGTGTATTCAAGATGAAACAAAGGAGAAAACTGGTGCTAACTACACTTAGAACTCTATAAAAAAACAGCTTGAACAATACACACAAAATAACAACAAAATGGATAAGAACACACCTGCTTCAGCTATTTGTCTTCCTTACATACAGAACACGAGCGACAAATAAAACAGCCGAAATTCAACTTAGATGTCTGCTGGAAACTCTAAGAGACAACCAGATCCACACTAGTACAAACAAAACACGACAGACGACAATCACAAAAACGACATCTACGATATCCCATGTTTCCAGCAAGGAGACAAGGACGACATTTTGTTTGTTGTTAAGCAAGAAGCTACACAATGGGTTAACTGTGCTCTGGTCACCGCGGATATCGAAATATAAGTTTTAGGTTTGTAAGCCCTCAGACTTACCACTGAGCCCCCCCCCCCCGGGGGGGGGTAAGACAATACGAAATTAATGAAAACTCAAAACCCCGCCATTGCATAACACGCATCGGAATAGGACATACAATCAATTGGGTAACTAAAGGCACACTGACACAGACAGGTTTTGGAAAAACCTAGCAGATCAAAGAATATTTCTATATAAACACACCTTCACTCAACAGAGACAAAGGTTTAGAGATTAGCAATCTCTGGTAAGCACACAGGATCACGTACAAATCTGTCAGTCAAACCATAACCATCTCATTAATTAGTGAAGAACCAGAAACCATCTAATCAACCAGTGAGGTCTTAGTAACACAAACCAATCACAAGCCACACCAAACGCCATATATACAACGTACAACCAGTTTAACCGTCACTCAAACCAAGACTACAAACACTTTATCAACCAATGAGGAACCAGGAAACCACCTAACCAACCAGTGGGGCCCTATTACCAGCAACCAATCAAAATGCCTTGTATACGAAGTGCAATGGATGAAGAGGGATACATTTCTCTGAGATCCTTGGGGGAATTCATCAATCCAAAGTCCCCATATCTCTTTCTTCCTCTGACCTGAAGATAGAAGACTTCTGAAAAGTTGTCACTTAGTCTTCTTTATGACATCTTTTTGGTAGCACTTTACAGTATATGTAATGTTGGCGTCCATTTTAACGTTATAAGTCTCGAGTAAGCTACACTATAGCCATCTATCGTTAGAATAAAGCGTTATTGTTTATAGGATTTCGCAGATTACTTCTATCTTTGAAATGTAGAGAGTGATGTTGTCCATTTTGTTTTGTATTTTGGCACCAGTGCCATTTATTTTGATACACCTCAAACATAAATTATCTTTGGATATGAGGGGCCCGTTGCATTATTAACAAAGATTATGATAACAGCTTCCGGGTGGTAAGCCTGAAGGCTTTTAACGCTAATGTTTGAGGTTCGATCACTACGATGATTACAGCGCAAATTACCCATTGTGTAGATAGCACTAAAAACACACTCTAGTAATATATTATCTTGATTAAACCGTTTGATTCTAAAACAATTTTATTCTAAAGCCTTGTTTTTAATTTGTGAGTTTTAAATTTTGCATTTTCAATATTCAGATTGGAATACAGCTATTTCTCTCTCTCTTTTTGAGAATATGTTTTAAAAAAATATGTATTAAACAGAAAATTTATTTTCTTTAATATTTATGGTAGATAACATTAAAAATATCTTGTTTACTGGTAGAAGATCAGTTTTTTGTAAGACGTTTATTTTCTGCGATACAGAGAATAAATCTATCAAAAATATAGTATTTCACTGTTGCTTTCAATTTACATTTTAGTGACACCTAGTGACATAAATAGGAAGTGTTTGTATTTACTATATTGGTTGTACTTTCTATTATGAAAAATAAAATAAAAGTGACACTCAGGAATAGAATATTTAGATAATTTTAAAGTGTATCGGTACATTTTATGATATAACAGTCCAATTTTTATACGTTGTACTTGAATGAAATTTACGAAAACACTTTAACAGATGTAATAATTCACAATTTTAGGGATTTTTCTTTTATCAACGAAATGATAAAGTTATAAACTTTTAAATCTATTATAAAAAAGTAAGGACTTTTTGTTATTAATTACAAAGTTACACAAGTGGTTAGCTATGTTCTGTCCAACTCGGGTATCGAATCCCAATTTTTGAGAGTTGTAATCACTCAGACTTACCGCTGAACCACTAGGGGTCGAAGAGTAGATATTTTTTGCCCACTGTTATGCACAAAGCTACACAACGTACTGTCTGTGCTGTGCCCACCACGGGTATCGAAAACCGATTTTTAGCGTTATAGGTCCTCAGACTTACCACTGAGACTCCTGGTGGCGAAAAGTAAAGAAGTTAATCCAATAAAAAAATAACATAGACAATATATTTGAAAATGTCACGTCCGTTATATTAAAAGATCAATTTACTTCATTATAAATTTATTTCTTATCTATGAATATAAATTTCATGAACATTAATCAAAGCCTCTTAGTTCTCAGAATCCAAACTATCTAACTTACAACATTATATGTTGTTAATCAATACTGTTACGACAGCGGAGGTCACGTGACCCTAGTAACACGTCATATTCTCGAAGCTTCGTGAATCCTCGGGAGGTTACTAGATGTTATGTATTCTTTTATATAAGACGGCGAAGAAGTGACGGCAACAATGCAATGTGTAATTGAACTGCGGACAGAGTATTGTTGAGTCGAGCACGTGAGACGTTCGTTGTGAATTATAGTGTTTGTTATAGCGCGACTGTTGAAATTAAGTGTATCGCAAAGTTGTA